TGTTTAAATTTAAACAACTTATGAACGTTGAAAATACTAAAGGATTACGTTCTCTACGTAAATGCATAACGTTAGCGTCGACAGGAAGAAAGGATAGGATCGGGTTGGTTATGTTATAAGGATATAAGGATTTAATTGAGCTGGTACTCTCCAGTATATGTTATTTGTGTGTATTGAGTAAAACTTATAATGAAATGAATGTGACAATGAATGTAATGCTAAATATAAATGCGGTTTGTGTGTGCAGTATGCAAAGTTTTTATTACAGGTGTTTGTGTTGGTCATGTCTAGTGATAAGTTGCGAAAACATTAGCAAAAAAATGTTATGTCCTGTCCTTGAAACACACATGTACTGTAGTGTCGTCCTGTCCATGAAACACATATGTACTGTAGTTATGTCCTGTCCTTGAAACACATATGTACTGTAGTTATGTCCTGTCCGTGAAACACACATGTACTGTAGTGTCGTCCTGTCCATGAAACACATATGTACTGTAGTTATGTCCTGTCCATGAAACACACATGTACTGTAGTTATGTCCTGTCCGTGAAACACACATGTACTGTAGTGTCGTCCTGTCCATGAAACACACATGTACCGTAGTTATGTCCTGTCCGTGAAACACATATGTACTGTAGTTATGTCCTGTCCGTGAAACACACATGTACTGTAGTTATGTCCTGTCCTTGAAACACATATGTACTGTAGGTATGTCCTGTCCTTGAAACACACATGTACTGTAGTCCCGTCCTGTCCGTGAAACGCACATGTACTGTAAACGGATTTTTTTCTTATTAGCGAAAAAATACCTGTCAAATTGCATGGGGTCGTCAGGACGGTTATTGAAACTATAAATTATATCTCAAAATAAGTTACAAATGAACTGTGTGTATCTTTTAGAAACATTATTGCATTTAAATCAGGATGTGTATATGTACATAAAATCTAATAGATGTAACATAAACGCTTAATACGCATGTAGGCATACACTCGCCAAGTGTCAAATTCTTATGTTGGAAGGGAGGTAATCCCTATTGAATTAGAAGGCGTGCTTATTTTAAATTGTTTTTGTACGTGAAGAAGAAAAAATGTCTGCCTGAACCTTCAACTATTACACTAAACTATAGAACATGTGCATGTTTTATGCGTCCACGCCTGGCTCATAAACTTGATAAGTCACTTAATGTCAATAATGTGTTGAACGAAATGTGTATATTCGGATACTTGACAGAGGGAATTTTCAACCTAGTTGGCCAAGACGTACTATTTTTCCGTTCTTCAAGAAAGTTGATCCTAGCGAAATGAATAATTATAGATAGGTAACGTTGGTAAATTGTTTATCCAAATTATCTACAAGTGTTTTAAACAATAGGTTACTAGATTGATCTGGACACTTTGATGACAACTTTAATTATCTTGATGTCACATTGAACTTTAACAGTAAATTTACGAAATCTCAGCTGACTACTGTTGAAGCGAATGTATGTTAAGAGGATGTTTGGTTAAGTCACAGATTTGATCTTGCCGATAATTTCATTCAATTGCGGAATGAGTGTGTTGAAAAATCAGCGAAATGTTATCAGTACAAGCTCTTGTTAGGCTCGTTTACTGTACAACACTATTTAACAAAATATATTCCAGATATTTATCTCCGAATTTCATATAAAAAAATTCAATTACTTTCTCAACAGTTGCGTTTAGAAAAAAAAGTAGATATTAAAATATTCCGGGGTGTTCTCTGAACGCCAACATTTCTTAAACAATAGAAATCCATCGAAACCAAAATTGCGTAGTTGAGGATTTTTGTTTTATTTTAATTTGTCTTTTGTATATAAAGTTTGTTAAAAGATATGATGGATCCGTCCGTTGTCTTTTAAACTTGTACAATTGCTAACGGTACATAATAGAAATTTCACGGTTATCTGGGCAAATAATTACATTTATTGTTATTATTACGTTCAAAATCTCAAGTCTAATGTGTTATGTTTAATTATCATGCATCTTCTGCAACCTATGGTTTAATAAAATGATAATTAATGGAAATAAGCCAAATTGTGAAAATGCAATAGTCAACATCGAATATTGTCCCATCCGCCTTCAAATTTTTTGAGATTTTTAACAACAATTAGTGAACTCTTATGTATACAAAGTTGAAAGGCAGTTGTCAGACCGATCCCTAATATCTTGTGTGTTCTCCCCGAACAGCCATGGCATGGAACTCGTAAGGACATTGATTGTCCGTAGAGTAATGTTATTCCATGGACAATTGGCGAAAGTTATTTCGGATTTTTGCTCTTCAGTCTTGTTCATCACACAAATCAGGATTATATGGAGGCCAATTAATAGCGACGATGTTCTGGGTTGCAAGAAAATCCTGACAAACTCTTGCAATGTGCGGTATAGCGTTATCATGCTGAAAGGTCAAATGTTGCCTTATAATGAAAGACACAAAACGAGGCCTTAGGATCTCATGTCGATAGCGTATATCCGTTAAAGGTGTCTTCAAACCAATGGAAATTTATCCGCAAACTATAACCGATCAACCTCCAATTCTGTCGTGCTCCAAAACACAAGCGTCCGCAAGACACTCTCCTCGACACCTAAAAGAACGCGAATCGACGTTCATACGTGAAGAGCATGGACCTCCAAAGTCTAAAAGGGCAACGTCTGGGCACAAGTGCCACCTACAACCGCCTACGACGTGCTCGACGTTGTGGCGTCAGCGACAAACCAACGTGCTGACGACGTGGGCGTAAATTTGCCTCTCGCACTCTTTTTCTCACAGGTTTTGGGTGGATTTCGTGCTGTTTCGGTTGCCAGTAATCTCCTGTCACGCAAGCTGGCAAGCCCAATGAACCGATGTTGACATCGCGACGATGTCAGTGGACGATCGGATTTTGGTCTATCATCAAATCTTCCCGTTCCGTTGAGACATAAAATAAACTGACTAATAGTCGATTTGTGAGCCCCGAAGGTAGCCGCGACCTGCGATTGAGAGCTACCCTCCATAAGCAATAGTACGTTCTTTATCAAGTTGGGACAGCCGTGGCATATTTGTAAAAAAAATAATTATTGATTGCGAATGTATTGGCGATCACGTGTCTTGGTGATAGTCAGAAATCATAGTTTGAAAGGAAAAGAACATAAGCATTTTTACAGTATAGTAGGCGCATCTTATGGGGATAGGTTTTTTGTCACGGATGATGTGTATTCAATACAAACTATTTTACAATTACGGAAGTTGTGATTCTTCGTTTTTTCAATATATTATATACTTTGGCGCTTGCAGGGCTTTAAAATTAAGGAGAAAGATACAGCTAATGAAGTAGATCTTAACGTTTTGAATTTACTGATGTCCTTCATCAGTAACTCTAATCTGGAGACATTCTAATGTCTATATCACTATGATTAAATAGCTATCGCAACATCAGTATCTCGATTACCATTGCTGGATGGGTGGAACCGACAGATGATTTAATAAATAAAAGCTAGCTCCTACCCTATATATAATAAGAAGGCACATTTGACCTTCCGGCGTGACCTATTCACGCAAATTCATCACCTATTTATCGATATACATGTATAACACTGTCATTGTCATCGACGTAACACCGTGTAAATCTTTATTTTCAAAATACAATTGGACGAATATAACATGTAAGTAACATTTAAAAAAAGCAAATTCCTATCAAAAACATAACAACGCCGCTACGGCATATCGTTTAATCCTATTTTCACTTGGGTGAAATAAAACATGCAAATTAGTGTTTTCTTTCGGTGAAGTAAAAAGAATTCCACTTCACCTTAAAGTAAAGATTTTTGCAACGATCGATGTAATAAGAAGCTTAATTTTCCTTCTATCTACCCCAGATATCAAACTGTTTGAAGGCGCGGATCCATGATTTGAAATAAGAGAGGGCGTACATGAAAACTCTCCTCCCCTCACCCCTCCATTTTTTAACAGTTCCCGTCTCAGATTTGACCTTTTTCCTGGATTTGTTTACTTGGTATTTTCCTTGGTCCCTACTGTTTGGTGTTCAGTTTTGGATAGAAACGAAAAAATGTATATAAAGGAACATACCTGTATCTTGGATTTCGACAACGATAATGACTATCTAGTCCAATTTCATATCTAGGTTTTTGTTGGTGCTTCTTATCCGTGTTTACTTGGGGTCGCTATTTGCAATTCTAAGAAATCTGAATAGACCGTGCTGCATATCTAAATGATATAAAAGCCCTCCCCTTTCACGTCCGTTCTTACGTACTTGAAAGATTGAAACGTAAAAAGCATTAGTGTATCAGCACGGACTTGTATATTAGATATATTTAAGTCCGTGGTATCAGTAAATAAATTTGTCGTTGAAATTACAAAGTAACATTTTTTATGAATACTAGCATTTAATGTCCCCAGTTCGTACGTGATTGAAGTCACGTACGCATATAAGAATGTTTAACGAAGAAAGTTCAATTTATCATTCTTGCCAAATGGTCACTTGGTGCATTAAGAGGTTCGGGGATGTCCGTGATTAGTTTGTTTAAGTTCACTTTTAAGTGAAGAATGAGTGGAAAATATCTTAATGGTAATAATGGTGGGGTATGGGGTTCACTGGTTGGCTGGTACGGAATTTTGGGGCGAAAGTTATGGCGATATGAACGAATCTAGACTGAAGCAGCTGACTGAAGTAACCATCTCTCGACGCAAATATATGTTTTTACAAAGCGTAAAGACAGCTAATGCATTACCTCGGGTGTCAAAACGAGGCAAACGACAATGTCGCAACACGAAAGTTGCAATCCCTCATCATATATGGGCCTAGATATTCCGAACTGATGACACTGTTTCTATTTCTATTATAACATTAGTCCTTATTCCATTGGTTGTTCTTTACGTCACATTTGCCTCTCTTGACGATTGAACGTTTGTAGCGGTCGTACTCCCGTGGCTATACAAAGCGCAAAGCTAACACAGATGTAAACATCACGTGGTATTTGTTGATATTTTGCCAGGAACATTCTGAGAACTGAGAATACTTTCTTAAGGTCAGAAGGTGGACTGTGTCTCCGAGCGTTTGGTGTAGGTAAGTGACAATCTAATAGTTATTCTTTAATGTTGTCACTTATTCAGATCAGGTTTTCTGACAATTGTTTAATGCAAGACCAATTTTTTCATAGGTAGTAGACATAACCTTATATCTCATCATAGAGATCTGATATGTGAGTGAAACCCCGACATCTTTAGAATCGTTTGTTAATGCATACTTCTTATGATAGAATAATTTCATATGTCAGTTGTAATGTGATATCAATATGTTATATATATATATATATATATATATATATATATATAATCAACAACACAATTTATGTCACATTGTTGACTGATGTTACATATATATTTGGTCGATATACACACAAAAATATCCTTTCTTGCCAGCTACGCTATGTCAGCGAATTGTCACCAAACAAATGCATGAATAAATACAAATGCGTTCATACTATAAGATTTATTTTAAAGAACTGACCAATGGAAACACTTTTATTTTTTTAAATAATATATCCGCATATCCAACCTCAAATTCGCTCATTTGAAATGAGCGACATGTATGTATCGGACATGTTCTGATGAAATCACTAAGTCACAGAGACGCTTGAGATAGCTTACAGTGACCAAGAAGTAAGTACACATGAGTAACGTAGATTCATCATTTGGACAAGAATGACATTCTGATAACAGAAAAAAAATCAAAATAAAGCCAAACTGGTCGATATCTGTGTTGATGTGTGCGCCTTTCAGATTCAATTTTTTAATTGGGTTTTATTGTTTTTTTCTCAAATGAACCATATTTCTAGGCAAACTTCTTATTTTATAATACAAAATATTTGAATAAAGTAAAGGTTTCATCAGTCAGACTACAATTAGCTTGTTATATGAGTCACCAATATAAGACATGCATGATTGAGCTTTTGTAGCCGAAAAATTGCAAGAAAGCATGGCCTATTATTCCTGATAAATTTTCACTTACTTGAAAGGCGACAACAAAATTGGCATCGAAGGATAGATTGATTATTTCATCATATCTGGGAGGATGTTTGACATGAGAAATTGTGTATTAAAAAAATGCACAAATTTGACAATAAAATATTTACTCAGAATATTTTATGGTGAATAGTTTTAATTACTGAATTTTTTTTTTATAGAAGTGTCACATGTTACAGCAACCATGATTATCTGAGTGCATGGTCCTGCAGGTCAATAGTGTTTGTGATATGCTGTGACAAAATGTCATTTTCAGAATACATAATGGTTCATAACCTATGTCAAGAACAACTTTGTTTTGCTGTATATATATATATCATTTGAGGTACAATGAATAGGCATAGCATAACATGTAAGTTTAAGTATCACATCTTTGTATGTCCAATCCTAAGAAGACCATATACAGGTATATGTATGCCAGTTATTGTACTCTATATTTCCTCTGTGGTTCATGGATCAGGGCAGTTCATCAGATTCATAGTACATTAACTAGCCTTTTCTGGCTGTGTGCAGTTGGGATCTGAACTTAAGCAACATTAAATATTGTGCATAGTTAGTAGTTGGATGTGTGAATTTTGTTGTAGTCATACTGCATAGCATGATACATAACTGTTGCAGTATTAGACATTTTGGCATACAAACTGGTTTGCCTGTCGCTGTTGTGGACCAGACATGACTTAATCTGTCCATCAAAATGTGTTGTGTTTGAACCAGAGAAAGCATTAGTCAGTGACGAATAGAATCCTTCCTGTTACAGTTTCCAAATTCTTAAATCTTAATTGCTGACGTTTCTATTTATGTCACAGGTTACAATTTATTTTCCTTTAAACCAAAGCTTATATTAACTTTTGTTTGCCAGGATGGAAGCACCTATGGGTCTTACTGTGGGAGAAAACCAGAGTAGCCATGTTCACTGGCCATTCTCAGATCATCATGATGTAATGTATCATGGTGAATCTATTGTATTTCTATTTAATATCATCCTGGTAATAACCAAGGATCCTCGGTCACATTACTGATGACATTGGTTACAGGTTGTACATATCAATATTCGGGTGGGTCATATTTACGTAGAATATTTTGGTTGATTGTTTTACTTTCTCAAATTATCTTTAATCAATGATATGTAGTCAAGGTTGTAATCATTACAATCATCCAAATGGGTAAATATATTATTGTCAATTTCTTTTAATATCAAATTATAGTGTATGGTCAATATCATTTACTATAAGATAAATAATCACTCATTTGATGTTACTTATTTACCTGATATAAATTCTGATAACAATAACAAATCTCATGGTGAGGATCACTTAGGCCAGGTGTGATGAAAGAAAATCATGATTGATTGGTCACAGTAATTTTGGATCATTGTGAGGCAATTTTTGAAATCATGATTGATCGGTCATGATAATTTTGGGTCATTGTGAGGCAATTTCTGAAATCATGATTGATTGGTCATTTCTGTGGAAGTTTTCTGTGAATTTGAAGTCAGTGCAGGGTTTTCCATAAGAGCCGGTTGCCGGCCAATTTGACCGGCTACTTTGATCATTTGGCCGCCTACACCAATCCAGTTCTGTAATAATGTTCTGTACACGACTACACGTACACAGCAGGCCAGCCTCCTACTTTCACTACACAGCCTACTGCTAACAAAATTATGGAAAACCTTGCAGTGATAAATTAATTTTTGGATGTGTTACAATTAGTCTTGGATATATCTGTATGAGGAAGATGACACTTCACCTCTAGATATGATGACATCACTTTGTGTAAGCTTTCTGTTGATACAGTGTATTCTGACACATCCATTGACTGGTCTTACAATCAGGAAGTTGAAACTATAATTTAAACAAGAAATGAAAGAGAGTCACACTTTATGACATTAAATTAATCTATTTTAACGAAATGTTTGTTTTATGGTGTTTACTTTTAGAATGAAGTGTTGTGATGTGTAAATAGAGGGGTTTTTTCCCACAAGGACAGAGAGTTTGAACCCTTTTCATTAAAAGGGAAATAGAGGATTTAAAAAAACAAATCTTATTCCATGTAGTATATATATGAAGATGAAAAAAACCCGTTGTATTGTAATTGATTTCATTTATCTATTTATGAAAGTTATTCAGTGTTGTGTACATGTTATTATAGTTATACATTGTAAATGGAGGATTTAGATCTAGCCCAACTTACAGGAAGTTGAATGGACTGTAAAAGACAAGAACGCATGTTAGCAAAGAAAAATTTTGAAAAGAAAATAATTTTGTCTCAATAGAGGAAAGGGATTTCAGCAGAATGTGATAAGGGGTATATTCCTCAATGTATTGAGAGAAAAAAATATTTGTCAGTCTTGCTTCTGAGAGGCTATGATGATTGTCATTATTGCTAATTAAATCATCCATGTTACTATTAAGATATCCGTGTTTACAATGTTAAGTTGATCAATATTGATCTTATTATAGGTTTTTGTTATGAATATATAACAATATAAAATATCACAGACAAGCTGATTTGCAAGTATGTTCATACACCATTCTATTCATTTCAGGTTGCAAAATTATACTAAAATTAATAATCAGCTTTTGAAAAAAAATCCATGACAATATATATGTAGAATCAGACAGTTCATTTAACCTTCATTTGATTTTGTACTTTACAGGTACATTACGGGACAGGTCATGTGATAAACGAATATAGACATTAGAGTATCAGAAAAGATGTCCAGTCGATCTGGCAGTAGTGATGACTTTGACACCTGGGAGGTGGTCAGAAGAGAAAGCAGTAATGAGGTAATAAAAGGTCTTTAATACTGTCATGTTTATAGTATTAGAAGCTCTTTGATTTGGAAATTTGTGAAAATTGATTGGATTCTGTTTTTGGTGGACATTGAATACCAGGTGAGCAATGCAGGTCCATTGGGCCTCTTGTCTAATAACATTTGATTCATCGATTTATTTGTGAAGAATTGAATTTTTTCTGACAATGATGATTTTTTCTATCAGACAAGCTTATATGATTATGTATAATAAAGTGTTGCTAAAAATAAAAATATTTGAACTACAAATAATAATTGATAGTTTTAATGTTGTTACTTCAACAAAAAATGAGGGAACATTGCTGGTTTGATAAAAAAAAATCTTCTTTCTTATTATAGCGCGATTTAGAGGATTCTGACTCGGACAGTTCTATAGAAGTGGTTTCTGTAGATACAGACGTAGAATGTGAACCTGTCATGCCTTCATCTCCTTCATTGGGTGCAAGGCAGATCAGTCCAGTGTTTGTCTTAAGGGTACCAAGTACAGAAGCAGGTGAGCATTTTCTGGAATAGCAACACAAGTAGAATAGTTTCCTTGCAGATTTATAGTAAGATTGAGCTACATCTTTCATTAACAAACTTGACTGTCAAGATTTAAGGATAGTTATTTATTAAATAGAATTTTTAAGAAGATACAGACAGAAGATTTCTATGGGAAAGTGTTTACATAAACCTCTGATTAGACAGAAAAATGCTGTGCTAATTTGAGACAGACAATATGTACAGATCTATATGTATATATGTTATGTTTAAATTCTGCATAAATGTATAAAAGAATTGTGGTCTATAGATAGTATAGGTGTGTAATTATCTTTATATTGTAATCACAATGCTTCCTTTTAACAAGTACACAGGTAAGTCTCTATGATTAATTAAGAACAAGGTCACATATGGTTTAATGAGAATTCCTTGTGTTCTTTCCTGAGTGTTCAGCATTTTATACAGAAAATTGTCAGGTTTGTATTCAAAGAAAGAGGTTAATTACAAACAATGGGTTTAGCAGAACCAGGGTGTTGGTGGTTGAATGTTCATATACATATATATAATATGTCCATTACAGATTGGTTGAGACTCAAACTTCTTCATTCTAATTATAAACATAGTATATGGTCAGGTTCTCTTGTTTGGTAGTAATGGATGACTCTGAATCTGATGAGTCAGCTGATGAAGTAGATGACCCTGTGATCACCAAGGCTCTGCAGGTGTCCTGTCACAGACAGGATGAGGAAATCTTGTCTGTTGGAGGAGGGAATTTGCACACACCACAGGAACATGTGGCAACTGCAACATCACTGGACAGTGGGGGGATGGACATCACACATGGAAGACATGAGGAAACAGATACTGAGCCAGTGTCTAGTGTTGACTTCAGCAGTAGTAATATTTCAGTAACCTCGTTGTCCATAGACACAGAACATACAGAAGATACAAGGTGAGGAGGTCATCATGGTATTAAAATCAACTAACAATATAATGCAAGTGAAAAGGTGTTGAAATGATATTTCAATGCTAACAATTGATGAATACAAATGTAGTTCTATTGTAAATAAAAAATCTCACACAAGTGAAAGTTAATTATCAATTTTTCATTAATAAAACCAATGGAAATGATGATATTCTCACAAAACAAGTACATCCATCATTTGGTAAAGTTGGGGGATTTAGGGAGGTGCAGGTGATAGTAATCAATTTTCATGTGCTTCCTTGCATTCATTGTAGAAAGTTTGTGTACAAGATACATGTTCCTCATAAATTCCTAAACAGATTTTGGTAATATTGATGCTTTAGTGTTGTAGCCCTGGACTAATCATAGTGTCTGTCCATCTGTCTGTCTGTCAGCACTTTTCCCTGCGGTAACTTGAGTTTCCTTGGGCTTATCAAACTCAAACTTGATACATTGCTTCCTTATAGGAAGCGCGTGTATGGGAATGCTTTTCAGACACAGAAGTCAAACGTTGAGGTTATTGTTGATATAATGGTAAATCCATTTTGTAGAATAATTCTAGTTTGCTGTAGCCAATATCCATAGTGGAGCCCTAGCTGGTGGTGTGTTACAATAGATGTGGCAGCAGTTTCAACTAAATTAGAATAATGAATACATATAGGTAGTTTCAAGATATTGAAAGTTCTATTTTATTTTGTATGTATACTTATTTCTGCAATTTGTTCCCCATTAGCCAATCAGGGAACTTGGATGGTTCAAACATGGTGGAAACAGAGGGAAGCAGAAAATCATGTTCCAGTGTGCAATCTCTTGATGGTGGAATCTCTTTAGTTGATACTACACTCACATATCACAATAGCACCATTAGGACAGATGAGGATAGTGCCTCTAGGACAGATGAGGATTGTGCCTCTAGGACAGATGAGGATAGTGCCTCTATGAAAGATGAGGATATTGCCTCTAGGACAGATGAGAATATTGCCTCTAGGACAGATGAGAATATTGCCTCTACGACAGATGAGGATAGTGCCTGTAGGACAGAGGAGGATAGTGCCTCTAGGACAGATGAGGGTGGCACCTTAAGAACAGATGAGGATAGTGCCTCTAGGACAGATGAAGATAGTGCCATTATGACTGAAAACATAATGGCTGCTGAACACTTCCCATCCCTCTCTTTGGAACCTGATAGCATCTCTAGGATAACTGATCCTGTGGAGTCAAGTAAACATCCAAGTAAGGCAACAGAGGATGGAAAGGAAAGTGACCATGTTCCAGACATTACTGAAGAAGATACAGGACACATTGATGATGAAGTGACCACTAAAATGGTACTGGAGGAACCACAAGAGGGATACACCACTGATCTAGTTCAGCCTTATATTGAAAACATGGTTCCCAACCCTCCCCTTGATGGTAAGTTCTCAACTCTCCCTCTAATGGTGAGTTCTTGACTCTCCCTCTAATGGTGAGTTCTCCACTCTCCCTCTAATGGTGAATTTTCCACTCTCCCTCTAACTGTGAGTTCTCCATTCTCCCTCTAATGGTGAGCTCTCCACTCTCCCTCTAATGGTGAGCTCGCCATTCACACTCTAATTGTGAGTTCTCTACTCTCCTTCTAATTGTGAGTTCTCACTCTCCCTCTAATGGTGAATTCCCCACTCTCCCTTTAATGGTGAGCTTTCCTCTCTCCTTCTAATGGTGAGTTCTCCACTCTCCCTCTAATGTTGAGTTCCCCTTTCTCTTTCTAATGGTGAGTTCTCCACTCTCCCTCTAATGGTATGTTGCCCACTCTCCTTCTAATGGTAAGTTTACCAATCTTCCTCTAATGGTGAGTAAATTTTGATGCATTATTCTAAGACACCTCATTTGGATTGAAGAGTATTCACTACTCTGTTTGCTATATATATTGCTCTTTAAAAGAGAGACACCCCAAAGTTTAATTGTATGAATCAGTTTGTTGTACATATGACCCTTACTCTCACCACAAGCTTATAATGACTCAGTGAGTGCCTTTGCCTCTCCCTTAGATAAGTTACTAATGGTGAATTCTATATTAATTCTCCCACTCTCCCTTTATGGTGAGTTCTCCACTCTCCCTCTAATGTTGAGTTCCCCTTTCTCTTTCTAATGGTGAGTTCTCCACTCTCCCTCTAATGGTATGTTGCCCACTCTCCTTCTAATGGTAAGTTTACCAATCTTCCTCTAATGGTGAGTAAATTTTGATGCATTATTCTAAGACACCTCATTTGGATTGAAGAGTATTCACTACTCTGTTTGCTATATATATTGCTCTTTAAAAGAGAGACACCCCAAAGTTTAATTGTATGAATCAGTTTGTTGTACATATGACCCTTACTGTATGTATGGTACTACACCACAAGCTTATCAGTATGACTCAGTTTGCAGTGCCTTTGCCTTGAATTTATACTTAACATAAAACCTTAGATAAGTTACTGATAGCTACAATTCTTGAAAGGTGTGGAATATTAATGAAAGTATAAATTAAGAATACTCTTAGAGAAGTTTTTAAGAATAAACACAATTGTTATTTAAGTGTACATGGTGTCATGATACCATCACTTACTAGTTTAATTTGTTTACACTGTGTATTTTCTCTGTACAGATGCAATTGAAAAAATTGATCAGGCTGATGTTTCGGCAGATTCTGTGTTGACGCAAGATGTACAGTTAGGAAGCAAAGATTCGAAAAATACTGGAAAAGCTGTCAGTGACAGATATATTCTAGTAATAATATTGATAGCATCTCTTAGTGGATTCTTGATGGGATCAGGAACAGGTATGTATTTTTTAATTCTTTGTTAAGTGAGTTAATCTATATATATATATGTTGGCTTATAATTAGATGACATACTTGTACAATACAGTGTATACTCTATTAATTGTTTCCCTTTAATTTGTTGGTGTACAACTGTATGAAGCCATATGTTATCTCCCTTTAATCAGTATTTGGTAGTAGCTATCCATGCTTTTAACTGGTTGTCTCCCTTGGTGTGCTTATGTAAAGACAGCTGTAGGAGACCCATCAGTGACAGCTACAATTTGGCAGTTAAATTCTTATAGAGTGTAAATTACAAGAATTTGAAACAGTTATAGATGAGGAGTTAAGCTTAGTAAATACACTAACTATAGATAAGGAAGTTTGCTTGATTAACTGCTGTCTTTACACTAGGTGCACTGTGGATTACACGGAGCATTCACACACAACTGACTGCAGCACACACAGAGATTGCTAACACTCGCCAACAGTTATCAGCCCATGTCACCGAGATGGATTTTCTACAACAAAGTTTATCTTGGGTATGAACACTATACATATTTATGATATGCTCTAAGTTGAACAGATTTTATGAATTTATAGGTAAACAAGATGAAATGTTGTCAGTTTTCATATTGGGCAAAAATTCATAAATCTTACCCAATATAAACCAGTGTTAACATAGAATGATTCACCTGCCAGTGTATATTATAAATAGACCTATGAATAATTAAGAGCAAATAAAGGCATATGATGTTGAGTGCCAAAATCAGTCTGAGTCTCTGTTTATTAAAGTAATATTCACTTGTTTTTCATAAATCAGTCATTGTTATTTACCTTTGAATGATATGTGATGAACAATGATGTTTTATTAGATACTAATTCTAAATGTGTCTTCTGTTATGATAAAATGAGATTGTATACTTAATGAATTAAAAGCTTTGAAATTGTCTACATCATATTATGAAGTTATCAAAATTACGTTTAATTTACAGATGACGGAAAATGCTTCATTTGACTACGAAAGCCTACTGGCAAGTGATGATGAGGTAACAAAAACTATGATTAAAGTCCTCGCGTTCTGTAAACTTAATTCTTCAGCCAAATACATTTATATTTCTTAAATAAGTACTTCAACAAAGTCCATTGACATTCAGTCAAATCAGATGACTGACAAGGAGGCTATTTGAAGGGTCATTAGTTCTTCCATAATTTTTATAACAAATTTACTTAGCCATTTTACAACTAGTCCCCCTACTTCCCCCTCTTTTTTTACAACTAGTTGCCAACCCCATGTTTTACTGATTTCCCGCACTTTTCCCAACCAATCCAATTTTTTGGATTTTATCCTTTACATTTTGAAGCTTGATAGTTTTTATTTGTGTATTAACTATTTTGGTTAAGTTAAGATCCTGTTGAATTGTCTGTAATCTATACATTTATTGTGTCGCCTGCAGAGCAGGTGGACTCTTAGGGATCACTTCGTCCGTCGTCACACGCCGTCGTCCGTACAAAAGTTTTCAGGACTTTTTTCGGTAATGCTTTGAGTTCGATTCCCGGCTGTCTGTGATCCTTTTTGGTATAGTTATGCCCCTTTCAACTTAGAAAATTTTCTGGGAATATTGTTTTCCGAACTTTTTGGCTTATGCTTTGAGTTATCAAAATGAAATTTGGTATATGGCTTCTTGTTGCAAGGGTACAGATTAAGTTTGATCCCTGGCTGTCTGTGACTCTTCTTGGCTGAGTTATGCCCCTTTCAACTTAGTCCGTGACACTTTATGCAGGCGACACATACATTTCCAAGGAACTCTTGTCGTATATCAGTTGCTATCTATAGTAACATGCTTTTGGAGATAGTCTTTCAGGAATGGTTTTTTGAATTTCAGAACTCTATATACATTAATTTATATGCTGTTCCAAAAGTTCACTTATTTTTATGTTGACAGTGTCAGTAGGCATATATGTAAAACCCAGTCACATGACTCATGAACACTGAAAAATAATGAAAAATAATGAAGTCGTCAAAGTTTTAAGTGTCAAACGTCTGACTAAGCTCATAACCAGATGTTGTTCTCTGTGGAGGAGGCAGGGGAGAAATAAAGCCTTGAGTCTTAATATATAGTTCATCTGTTCACAGCTTCTTATAATCCACACATAGTTTAATCATAAAATTAATATCTTTGCTGCATAAAAGATTTCACTAGACCACTAACTGAAACCTTGATTCTATTACAATCCCTGATTGCAAAGTGAATCAGCATTGAGTTGCCTTGTCAAAAGATGGACCTGACTGAAACCTTTACCCATGCTGCATTTGCCATGACTGCTATTTTGAAAATCTTGTTACTCTTACTTTTCCTCAAGGGAAAATTGTATTTAGACTTAAAACTTCAAAGCATCAGAGAAGACCCAAGAAATCTCAAATTAAATTCATAACCATCATTATATACTGGTAACAATAAAATGAAAGAGTTTTGAACCAGTAGAGCACCATCTTCTTCAGGAACTTGTCCCACCTCCTCCCTTTTTTCTTACATTAAGTCTTGGTTAAATTCTTGCTCCTTGTGTGTAGGTCCCTGTCTGCTGTTACATTAACTCTGAGCTAAATTCTTGCTCCTTGAGTGTAGGTCCCTGTCTGCTGTTACATTAACTCTGAGCTAAATTCTTGCTCCTTGGGTGTAGGTCCCTGTCTGCTGTTACATTAACTCTGAGCTAAATTCTTGCTCCTTGAGCCTGGATTCCTGTACCTGTTACATTAACTCTGAGCTAAATTCTTGCTCCTTGAGTGTAGGTCCCTGTCTGCTGTTACATTAACTCTGAGCTAAATTCTTGCTCCTTGAGCCTGGATTCCTGTACCTGTTACATTAACTCTGAGCTAAATTCTTGCTCCTTGAATTCCTGTACCTGTTACATTAACTCTGAGCTAAATTCTTGCTTTGAGCCTGGATTCCTGTACCTGTTACATTAACTCTGAGCTAAATTCTTGCTCCTTGAGCCTGGATTCCTGTACCTGTTACATTAACTCTGAGCTAAATTCTTGCTCCTTGAGCCTGGATTCCTGTACCTGTTACATTAACTCTGAGCTAAATTCTTGCTCCTTGAGCCTGGATTCCTGTACCTGTTACATTAACTCTGAGCTAAATTCTTGCTCCTTGAGCCTGGATTCCTGTACCTGTTACATTAACTCTGAGCTAAATTCTTGCTCCTTGAGCCTGGATTCCTGTACCTGTTACATTAACTCTGAGCTAAATTCTTGCTCCTTGAGCCTGGATTCCTGTACCTGTTACATTAACTCTGAGCTAAATTCTTGCTCCTTGAGTGTAGGTCCCTGTCTGCTGTTACATTAACTCTGAGCTAAATTCTTGCTCCTTGAGCCTGGATTCCTGTACCTGTTACATTAACTCTGAGCTAAATTCTTGCTCCTTGAGTGTAGGTCCCTGTCTGCTGTTACATTAACTCTGAGCTAAATTCTTGCTCCTTGAGCCTGGATTCCTGTACCTGTTACATTAACTCTGAGCTAAATTCTTGCTCCTTGAGCCTGGATTCCTGTCCCCTAATGTCTTTAAGTATCCTCAACTGAGGTACATTTGTATTCAGTATTAAGTCACTACCTGAGGTAAATTTTGTTGGATGTTGGTTTCTAAGACCAGTACTTAAAAGAGGCATATAGATTTTTATACTTCTATATTACAAAAGTTCAATTCAGTGTGGAAGAAAAGTTTACACACTTAATGTAAGTTTCTTTGTTATAGAATTGTAGGCTATACTGTTAACAAAAAACAATAATTGAAAATTCTTCAGTTTCAAGTGGCAAGAAACTCATTATTTTGGTATGAATTATGTAATATCATACTTTTATTTAAATTTTCAGATGGTCTTTGATCCCAAGTTTACAGCAGGTTATGATTATCAACATTACCTTTTCACTTTCGGAAAATATGATGAAACAAAAAGGGAACTTGTTCGTAGAAATAAACTGACAGTAGAAGAAATACAACAAATGTATAGTGCAGAGTGGATGGATAAGGTTAATCGTCTTGAGCAAGAGAAAGCAGATCTGGTTCAACAGATCGGTATGATGAAGTATAGATCACCTTCAAATCCTGACGTCAGTGGAGAGAAGGTATTGGACAAAGATGAAGGACAGGACTTCTCGTGGTTTTCTTCAAGTGATCAAGACTTACAAGCACAAGGTCATACAGGTCAAAGTAAAACAAAAGAGAATCGCTGTAGATCAGAAGGGACAACAGCAGCTCTAGAACAAGAAGACAAAATTGCTGTTTTAGAAACTGATCTTCAGCTGGAGAAAGCTCGTTCAGATAGGTGGCAAAGTATGTACCTTCAACAGAAAAAATCTGCTGAAAGCAAAACATGCTCTGGAAAAGATTTTCTGAATCAGTTTGGTGAAATTCTCCAAAACTTTTCAGTTCCTGAGGACTTCTCAGAGGTAAGACAATTTAGTTGTCATACAATGACATATCATGTTTTGAAAATGTTTGATTGTGTTTCATGAAATAACACACACAATATCAATACAATGCTTATTTTTTATTGATTTCATAAACACATATTATTCAGTTGTTTTTTGATTATACTAGTATATATGTGTTAAAGTTAAACCCCCTAACTACAGGTTGGCTAGTAACATCAGAGTCTCTTCTGTTAGCCCTGATTTTAATTATTGAACAATCAGATAACCAGCAAATCTGTTGTAATGCTTTCACATTTCAATGAAAATTTCATCTTTTGCTTTTTAGTTTTATATGTAACGTAAATATTTTGTTGATACTAGTTAAAAAAAATCTATCAGTAAAAATGGAATCAGTATACAGTAGCCTTGGAGTGCAGTAGTAAGGGGACCAAATTAGTGCCAAGTGAACTGATGAAATGTTTTTTTCTGTCTGGATAAAAAACTTAGGACTTTAAAATGTGTGATAAGTATTACCTATACATGTATCCTATTGCTTGTTTGATATATAAATAGTTACTCTTCTTTGGTATATCTGTTTTACTGTTAAAGTCTGATGTTATACATTATAGAATGTTAAAGATAAGTGGGAGATTGTGAAAAACCAGTCTTTGGAGGGATGGCAGTTGATAATGGACATGGCTTCAATAGTAACCTCAGGAACTAAACAGCAGTACGATGTCCACCAAACACCAAAGCCGGCTAAGTCCAGTCCATTTAAAGATGACAGGAGCTCTGACACAGGACCAGACAAAGACGATTTGAATGGTGAGGACCAGGAAGATTTCTCTAGTAAGGAAAATAAGGAAATGCCTGTACCAAAGTGGAAGAACACCATCGAAGATGTCTACAACAAGACCAAGACATCAATGTCTGATGTTAGTCAGCAAATCAAGCAAACCTGGGAACAGGTATGTGTACAGAAACTTCGGAAAAGAATAACGTATTTGTAAATTGTTTGTACATTGTTTTTTGGGATAAACAATAAGATAATTTAAACTAGTATTAAGCGCAAATAATCGTTACAGTGTTTCTTGCACATTTTATTATTGCATTCCATTTGTGCTAAAGAAAAGAATCTATTGTGATCTATTATCTATCAAAATACGGATTATAGTTGCTGGATATATTATCATGTCAAGTAAATAATCAACTTTGATGTAAATTTCATTTGTCATTGATGATCGTGAAACATGAGTACACAGTAACAATTTTTTAGGTCTGAACAACTAAAAAAGTTTCAGAGAAAAAAAATCAGTCACCTCTGAATAATTAGAGCAAAAGAAGTTTACATTGCATCATACAGAGATTTCAACCAACAGAATAATTGATTTTTTGGAAGATTAGCACTTAAGAAATCCTTCTGTTTCACTTCTTTTACTTTCCAGTTAAGAGATCACATTGAGGTTATAAATTTTCTAAAGCTTATAGCATGATGTACCGAGTCATTACATTCATTATAAAAATCGTCAATGATATGAGAAATATTGACTAACCAATGAGAAGATAATTTTATTGTATTTTCATAAGAGATTGGATTAGATAGAGACAGAAACTTACTTACAATTCCACTGTGTATTTGTAGGTAAAGAATCTATCACAGGATCTCTGGAAGGAACATGAGCCATCAGTGACAAAGTTGCGAGAGAAGATGTCAAAAAAAGTTGAAAAAGTAACAGAGAAGCTGAATGCATGGTTTACAAGGAGGAGAGCCCATGGTCATAAAGGTCATCAATGGAAGGCTTCGCAAAAAAGTAATGAAGAGACATCATCACAAACAGGATCAACAAAAAGAAGAAATTTCACAAAGTTAAAGGAGGAAGAGAAAAACTGGACAAAGGATAATGAAGAGAAGGAAGATGAGGAAATTGATGATGATGATGATGATGTTGATGAAGATGACGAGGAAAAATGGGGTCATTCTGATCCGGTGATGAAGTGGTATCATAGAAAATTCTCAAGATTTAGGACAAAAATAGACAAATTAAATTTACAGAAATTTTTGAAAATGAATCGTAAACATATGAGAAAAGTCTTTAAAAGAATAGAGAACTTTGTTAGAAAATTTGATATGCAAGTGTTAAGCCCCCAAAACAGGAAGTGGTTAACATGCCAATTGGACTGGTGGTTTGGAATGTCTGCAGATGTAAAGAAAGATCCTAATTGTAGAGACATGCTTCAATGCTGGCAGGTTAAAGCAGGAGGTGACCCCAGTGGGTGTGACAGTAGTCACTACAGTGACCAACTCCATAAAGGTCACCAACAAAAAGGAGGCAAAAGGCATTTAAATAATCAGGGTCAGGGAAGAGAAGACAAAGCGAAAAAACAATTTCATGGCAGCCCACATCGAACTGATGATTCGCATTATCAAGATGATAATAACAGACGTGAAAGGTTTGAAGAAGAAGAGAACAGTGATCCGATAGAGGACCCCACACCCTTTTGTGACCATGCTTCTGGGGACTGTCCAACATCTGAACCATCTTGGTACATTCGCCAGTTAAAACATAGGGAAGAAATGCGTAGGATAGTCGCCGAGGAAACTGAACCGGGCAGCCAGTCTGATTGGATGTTCACTAGAGCAGAAGATCGCGATTTCCAGCGAACTCTTCCTGATGACTGGTACTTACAAAGACTTGACAGCACCAAATATAGGGACAATGGTTACTTTGATGAAGAATAGATAGCTTGAATTAATAGTTTCCTAGTATTACATATTGCTGTCTTGTTGAGAGTAATACAATATTGATAAAAGCATAGTGTACTTAATCCAATTCATTTTGTCATTAGGGTAATTTCACCACTGAGAAATTAATTACATCATCTTGTTATTTTTATGAACTTTTTCTTGAAGAAACAATGAAATTTAAGTTTTGCTTAAGAGATAGATTTAATCCTTTGGTTCTTTTCATAGTTATGTATTTTTTTTTTTTTTAATCACAAGGAGTAATCTTTCTTTGGCTCTTCCAGTAGGCAATCAGAAATTAAAGGTCCTGATTCAATTTTGAAAATCACAACATTTGTCACATCAACTTACCTGTTAAGGTAATTCGAACTTACTACTCTTAATGTAGAGCTTAGAAAACTACAGGCTTCTAGTATAATCTCTGCAGGAGACATTGGAAACAAAAATGGTCTCTTAGGATATGCTTTTATTAATTTGCACATTTACATAATCCAGATACTTGCATCTTTAAAATTCATTATATGTGAGGTATGCAAATTTCATAGTAATGTTTTTAAAACTTAGGAAATCAGAAGTTTCTGGTGCCTTATTATTCAAATTGTGTTACAATTTTATAATAGGAACTCTTTTGATTCCCTTTGGCAAATTTGAAAATGATTTTTAAAATACCATTTATGATATACAGTATATACTTGTGATGAATTGTAAGTGTTGCTATAACCTTCAGCAAAATATCAAGAAATCATTCTGATATAGTGAAAACCGTCAAGTTTGGTTGTAGTTATTGTTGGTTTTATACAATACTTCACTACAAGCTGGAGTGATTTCTATTTCATAAAAATGTGCAGTAAAACGGTAGCAATGATGTAATGATTTAAAATTGAACAAATATTTTCCCTTATACTTTTGTTAATCTAGTCAGTGATTGATTTTGATTGTATAGGTAAAGATCGCTTGATACAAAAGAATTTAGAATTTCCTGCACCTAAAGTCACTTCTTAATGAAATCTGGTGTTTATGTATCAGTTACATCTCTGTATGACACATTTGAATTGACACCTTGTTTTACGTATGTTACATATAATATTATCATAATATTTATATAATAGAATACTATGATAGAATAATGAATAAATAAATAATGGTTATATGCTTAATGGTTTTGTAACCATATCATTGTTGGCTGTAAACGTATGTGTTATGTTTATCTGTTTTAAAATTTCATTAAATTTTCAAAGTTTATGTTAAACCTCAGATTCCTATGATTGTTATATGTGCAGAGGTTCTGTGATAAAACATATGTGTCTCCACTGTATAAAGCCCTCCACTTACTGTATAATTTGTAGGTGTTTGCTCATTAGTTTGCCAATAGAATATACTGTTATGATGGGGAGAGCTTTTTCAACATATCGCAATAAAGACTGGTACTGAAAGAATGAAGTGCTGTGGTGCTGAAGTGGATGATTGTTAACTGTGTAAATATTTCGTGCTTTTTTTACCTGAAATAGTGATCTTCACTGTAATCATAAATAAAACTAGATCGGTTTGAAATTCCATCGTGTGCTTCATGTGTAGAGTGGTGGAGAGATTCATCTATGACTGTAGTAATATTCATCTGACATAATTGTTTGGACTTCAATCGTGTTATGCATTCTGTATATTACATTTACAATAAATTCACCGAAAATATCTTGCATTGTAAGTATACCGCTTTGTGTTCATCTCAGATCCATACGTAATATGAAGGTGTGGTGTTTTATCTCAAGGTCATTAGTCCACTTAATGTTCTGTAGAACCCAGTAGGTTCCTTACTTTACATTTAGAGAGAAGGAAACCTGTATCATCGTTGTGCTTTACAAATTATTATTATAGATATAAATTACAAGAACTGAGTTTGTACTATATTTTTGTATTAATGTAAAGCCAAATGCACAGTTATTGACCAGTAACTTCAATAAAAGCCTTACATGCATATATATATATATATGCTTATGATATGATGAAGTAGCATAGTTATACAAAATGTAATGCCACCTGGCATTTCATAACAATTAAAAATTAGGTTGTATTGCATAACAGCTTTAAATAGCAGAATCGACTGATGAACACATCAAAATTAAAAGGCAAAATTAATTCAGTTCATTTCTCTTTCATGGAAATAGATAATGAGACATATTTACGAATTATGTACAGTTATTGTAAAGTGTTCATAACCAGTGATATAAAGTTAATATTGTACTATAGAAGGTCAGTCGCCTCCTATACTTCAAAATGGAGATCCGTTACTGACCAGTCCTGAAAGGACGGAATAGCGATATGGTGTAGTTTAAAAAGTCTGCAAAATGTTATAAACTAAAAAAATGCCAAATTAAAGATTTTAGTCATTTTTTAAGTTTCATTTTTTGGTTACTATGTTGTAATAAGCTTTTTGAATCAAATGAAAATGAAGCATTTCTCGTTATTTTTTTCTTATTACCCAAATAACATATTATTGCATTTGAAAAAAAAAATTTTGAAAAAAGGGAAAATAAAAAGGGATGTCTGTTATTAAGGGAAAACATGTGAAAATTAATTATTTCTTGTTACGATTTTTCTGGCTGCTGTACCGGAAAAAGTAGTGCAGCAACATATTTGTAGTTTTTACTTTTGATTAAGTTAAGTTTCGCCTTTCACATAGCCGTCTGGGGTTCGATTCCCGGAATGGATGTGAAAAGGTATGGGGTCATCTGCCCGACCACGGGGTTTTTCCCGAGTACTCCGGTTTCCTCCCACACTAAGACACCTCGCACGCTTCCATCCGAGCCAACAAGAGTGATTAATTAAAGTTGGAAAAACTTGTTTCGCAATTGTTGTAAAATAAATGAAGATTATTTATCTATTTATAACCTTTCGAAAAATAATCACCAGAACAAAATTTTAAAGATTATATAGAATTTTTAGACTTCCCAGAAGAGAACATCCTCAACAATACGTCTTAACCATGGAAAATAACAAATCATTTACATTTCTTCTCAACGTCAAATATACTATCTGATCTAAAATACCTAAAGAAAACACATGCACCTTGCAGATTTGAAACAATATTAACTGTTTGCTAAATCCTTATAAGGATATTTTACAAAGAAACAAAAGATTTCGAAAATAAAAATAGGATATTATAGATCCCCATCGAAGCTACCAACATATATTCATCTGATTTATAGCTGTAATGCATATTAAGTTGTCAAGAAAAACGGGATTCAAATAGTACATTTTATTGGAAGTTAGCTGTCTGACGTTTTGAAATCTGTTTTTTAATAAAGTTGATACAGAAATCAACGTTACTTAATGTGATTAACTAACAAAGAACATTGCGTAAGAATGATAGACACAAAAAGGTAGGATTGTGAATTATACCATGCTAATATACTACACCTATATTTCCAAACAGCGTCATGCTAACAGGAAATACACAGATGATTTAGAGATGAGTAGTTGGTTATAGGTATGAATCATACTTATTGGCCATATTAGTTTAATGACCTAGTAGACAATCCATCATTCCATAGTAGATGTCATCACAACCTCCTTTCATATGTACTTACTGCGTGTCTTGTAAACAAAGTGCAGCGTTTTTTTTCTTCCGACATAAACTTCACTTGGGGTAACTGACGCTCACTGACATTTACTCTGTTACATTTTAGGTAGGCAAGATGACGACCTCAATACACGATACAACATCTATCGTACATATATGTTGGCACTAGATCCTAACAAATAAATGTGACGTAATAACGACAGTGCAGACAAGTAAATTGTCAATCCTCTTCAGCCAATCTGCAACATCATCAACACACAAAAACAATACAAACATTCAAAAACATTCAGAATCATAATCCAAACTCAAATTCAAAATATGAACAAAAGAAAGATGAACACGGAGACTCCTAAAACAGTACGAGGATAAGACAGTTTTCCGAAGGAATAAGCGTCTTAGATTATGCTATAATATAGTTTGTTATCCGCATAAAACTAAGCTATTTAATTAACCTTATTTAGATAATATTAGCTCATTAATGCTTTAAACATTGCCGTTATTGATTTTGATCAGGGCCTTGTGCCCTGTACGCCATATACACGGCGTATCATATACATCGGTCAACTCGTTTTATCTGTAAAGTCTAAATATACCTATCACCGAGTTGAAGTGTTAAATAATAATAATGATGTGTAAGGCACAAAGTTTCAAACTTTCAATTCTGAACGCGAATCTACAATTAGTATCAATATTTTACATTTGATTCCGTGTTGAATCCCTCATGTATACACTTATTTGCTTAGTATTGGATATTATACTTATGATAATAACTATTTCATATTGAAACTTAATACAACACCCAATGTCAGTCAGTCTGAAAATGTCATCATGGAATGAAAATTCAATAGATACATTTAAAGTCAAGGATTTCTTCAAAGATGAGGACTGAAAAAAACAAATTACCACGCAAAAATTAGTTCACAAGTAGACGGGATTTACAATTTTCGAAACGAACTACCTACATAATTCAACATCAAGACATTTAAAGAAGCCAGATTAAGTTTTTTGACCGAATATAGGATAAACATGTATGTATTCTTCATAGGCTGTTAACTGGAATTTCTTCATTGGTTAAATTGTACTGTCTAACCTTAACACTGACATAATCTATCACGATAAAGTTACATAGATGTTATTAAAAAGACCCTAGTACTTTAAATTTCTTATCAATATGATATTCAATTTTTAAGATAAAGCTCAAAATTTTCTTTAAATTCTTATAGTTGGTGTATATCAACAATGTGTTTCAAATGTAAATGCGATATCATCTAAACGACCAGTTTACTTGAATAGAAATTTCCATCCATTTCATTTATTTATCTAAAAACAGACTTTTGTTATACTTATTAAAAGTTACACTTTCTGTTTATCACTTTTTCTCGACTTATAACGAAAACTCAATTCATTCCAATACTCACGAGTCATATCTTCTTATAATTTCAATTATACGACAGTTTCATGTGTAACATTGTTTTTGATTATATCGATCAATTTCGTGTGTAATGAGATCATGCATGACTTCTTCAGTGTCAGATAATTTACCTCGGCTACATAGGGTTCTCGATTACCATAGAATATAGACCACTGACTAACATGAAGGGGCACCTCAGTTGTTTCATTGAACTTCGGTGTCAATGCGCTTCCCAGTTTACATAACGACATGGCATGTGGCTAAATCGGCTTTTCTTTAGTCACTTTCAAACATTTTTTGGCTCCAAGCATCACTGACGAATTCTAGAGCGATAAAACAGCTGTTGATGCTGTTCAAATCATTCTTTGGCTGTAATGTATTCTAATAATATGTTGGTGAATGATCGTTTATCGGGGGTTTTTCGTTCTAACCCCGTTTAATCTTGGCACAAGGATATCAATTTGCATTTGTAGTTACATTGCATATTTTGTGATGACGTAATGTATTTAATATCACTTGGTATTTGATCATTAGCCGACCTCTATGATAACAAATGAAAAGTATACAAAAGTCACACAAATGATTAGTGTCTTTCAGTACCATTTTAGAATTCGATACTTCAGAGTAAAGTAGTAAAGTTAACAATATAGTTTTTCTTTTAATATTCGTCAGTGATGCTGAGGGTCGTAAGGTTGAATCCGAGGAATCGAAAGAAATGTCGAAAAGACAATGTGATGACTAACCAATTTATTCAAGGAAATTTTCTGTCATTTATGATAATTTTAGAACAATGTCAGTTATGTTGTATATTCTAAAAGATGTCATTATTGGAATGAAGATGGCTTTCTCAAGTTATATCTTTTTCTCTAGTGTCGGTTTCGCGATGTTGACTGAATTCAAGTGGTTTCAGATAGCTTTTTGAAAGTAATTTATCTGAACAGCAAATCTTTTACATGAATTCGTCAGATTTATCATTTTCCATGGTAACAAAACGGTCCTATTTCACAATCACAATAGCTAAGACCATGGATATGTTTTTACAATTGAGATTCGAAGATTAAACAAACGTTTGCAGTAGAAAGTTTATACGAGGTTCTAGTATAAAAAGATTGCAAGTTCTCAGAATTGTGTCAAAATGTCATCCCCCCCCCTCTAAAAAAAAAACCAAAAACAAAAACAAAAACAATACTTAATAGTAAAAGAAACCTGACATGCCTTTCATTCATATTTACAGATAGCTTTTACGCAGTTGTTCGTATAGCCTAGGGCAGTTTTTATGACCTGTTCGTAGTAGTATAGCTAGACACAGGTCACTATTGGTACTGATGTGTCACATTGTGGTCATATGTCATCTTTTGTCGTTTTAACGAATCGCATTTGAGAAACATTTCCTGATTTCCTTGATCAACTTGTATAAATATGTCTGAGAACCGACCAAAAGTCATTCGTAATCTTAACTCGGCATCGAATCGCACTGATTTCTAGGTAAGTGTCTGTCATTGCAATCATCTTAGAACTGTATGTGATAAGATTACCAGATAATTATAGCGCAAACTACAATTTGTAATTCTTATATTAAATCTGTGTCTATTTGTGAAATTTATTGTAACTACGAGATTGTGATAAAAATTCCGTGGTTACCGTAAACGAAGAAACCTACTTATCGAAATAATATTATGTTATGTTTCTACTTTTGCAACTATGAACAACGTTCATCCGGATATTTCTTATAATGCTATTTATTTAACAGCAATTCATTCGGACAGCGTTGCATGTTTTAGCTGCTGATCACTCTTTAATCATAGTGTAATTAGAGTAAACGTATAATTAAGAAACATTTTTTCTGTTTCTTTTCTTGTTTACTAGTGTTAACTGCACCTTTACAGATGTTTCAAATATGTTGAAATTTCAGATAAAATACAGTATATGCACCAGTAAACAACACAGAAAGAATAATCACATCTTATATTTTGAAAAGATTTTTCTTTATTAGATCAGACCAACAACTGATAAAATAGTGAATTTTCTTTCGAACGTTTGTCAAACTCTGGAAACGTCATCTTTTTGATACATTTTTTGAGATATTTTATAAATTTTATTTTCCATTTTTAGATCTGATATGTACAGTTATATTGTAAAGAGGCGTTTAATTGTCCAGAATGAGCTTGTAATGTAAATGAAAGGACACAAAAAATGTAATTAAAATATTATTTAAGCAGATATTTTGGTGTGTTTCAGTAACGACATAACCGACATCATGCTGAAGGTAATATTTCTCCTGTCCTGCCTTGTGGCTAGCGGTCTCTGCACTTATTATGGTAAGCACCGGATGTAGGGAAATTTCGGATATATACTACACAACATTTTCACCGTGTAAAATGATCAACAACGAACATTTTGTCACATCATTTCGAAAATTAATTCATTCAACGTTTCTGAGATGCCGTTTTCTTGATCAAAAAGGTATTTACTTATCAAAAAATATCAGGAATTAAAGTCTATATGTCAAACTATCTATTTTAGGTAATTCCTATGGCTATGGATTGGGATCAATTTTAGACGGTGGATACGGAAACGACTTTGGCCTCCTTGGTTATGGGGGGTTGGGAACCGGATATGGAAACTACTACGGTCGTGGAGGCTACGGACACGGTGGATACAGATATGGAGGCTACGGGCGTGGATACGGAAACAGGTGGATGAGACGGCGATCTAGATTTGGTGGATACTAAATCAATTGTCGCCAGTTCTTACAGTTCCAGGTAATATTCATTGTTGACTGTTTTCTTGTTTTCTTTGGTAAATGTCTGAAACCCGTTGTTTAACTGGAAAATGTTACAGTACAAGATACAAACATAACGATTACAGTAAAATGCTATATCTGATCCAACGTATACGTTAGTCGTAAGTAATTCCAGTTTGTAATTATATATTATTGTATATATTAATACACATAGATATAGCACAACTTGTATATGTATAAGGAAATTTATACAGAAATAACCTACTCATATTCCGTTACGATGATAATAAGATGTTGATCTTGTCTATTGTCTAATGTTATTTCTCTTTCTTTGCAGATTCATCTTGTCAAGCATTATTTACCATTTCCATTAATTTATTACCAAAAATATGTTACAATTAATAAAATGTATTTGCCTTAAAAGGATGTGTTTGTAATTATTTCGTGATATTGAAGAAACAAATAGATTCTGGTTCTCTGGTGATGCTATTCAGGGGCATTTAAAATCCTCGGGAATATTCTTGTTGAATTGAACCATCACAATATTTTTAGATTTTGGATTTTCGTCCTGCTATGAAGATTTTACTAACTTATCTCCACTCGATGTTCTCCATGTATGGATAAGTTAAAAGGAAATGTTTGTCTGGTCGACTTCAACACTGTCTGAAGTAAACACGTATCTGTTATAACGGTACATTTCGTATATTGGAAGAACAATTTACACAATTATTACATATTTTTACTTATGACAAGCAATTATGGACAAAGCCCCCACACCGGTTTAATGTTAAGTTTAAAAGAATGACTGAAGAATGAAAACCTTACTTTTACTGTTTCGCTCATGATTAAGCAGATATACTGTAAATATTATGTTACTTTCAAGTCCACATGGATACAGCTTGGAAGGAATCATCACATGTACATTCTCCGTTAGGTTAGGTAATGGTCCATTCGGCCACAAATTAAACATATTATGTTACAATGACAATATTGAAAATTAGAAAATGCATTGAACATCCATCAACTTTTGATTCATCGCAGGATTTCAATAAGGTAGCATCACTGACGAAGACCTAGTGAACAAGACAGATGTATAACAAAGTTAAGGTTCTTACTCATTTCTGAAATTTGAAAATTATCAAATACAAATTATATACACCATGCCAATCGTATTTCTTCCGCCAAAAAGATAATTGAGTAGAACCTTATTATATAACACCACACAATTTAATTCATTTTGTTTGAAGCCGTAGATGCAATATTTTACACACAACATATATGAATTGAAAATCTGAAATTTGAAAATTATCAAATACAAATTATATACACCATGCCATACGTATTTCTTCCGCCAAAAAGATACTCGAGTAGAACCTTATTATATAACACCACACAATTTAATTCATTTTGTTTGAAGCCGTAGATGCAATATTTTACACACAACATTGATGAATTGAAAAATCTACATCATTATCTCAAACATTAACACACCCGATCAATACCATTCAGAGTCGAAACAAAATTATCAAAATTTGCACTCCCGGTATGATGGATAACTAAAATGTGGAGAAATTAATGTGATATGAGATACCTATTGTACACTGTAGTTTAATAGACATTTCGCGTTTTAGGACAGTGTTAGTAATGTAAAATACATAATTCATCATATAAACCGTAATTTGTGATCTGACGAAAATGTATAATTCCAAGTGTTGAAAACTACCTGATTTGGATGAAAGATCATATTTGTTTTTAAGTTAGAAAAACAGTGGTTGAAACGTAAGCATGGTGCATTCGATTCTCTTTTGGAATAAACCTGTTTGGTCTGTAAAAATCAAAATTGTAAAATGAGCTTGTGTGGCCTGTAAAAAATGTTAACTACGGTCTCTGTCACTGACCTGACGGAACCAGCTTCTTTGGCTCAGCTGTTAGAGTCCGTCGATTATCACGCCGGTGATACGGGTTCGATTCCTGGTTTGTTTTCCTTGATATTTCAATATCTTTGTATAATGATGAATATATAATATATTAATATTATATTGATATATTTTCGTCAGATCACAAATTACGGTTTATATGATGAATTATGTACTTTAGTTTACATTACTAAGACCGTTCTAAAACGCGAAATGGCTATTAAACTACAGTGTACAATATATATCTCATATTACGTTAATTTCTAGTTATCCGTCATACAGGGAGTGTACATTTTTATAATTTTGTTTCGATCCTGAATGGTATTTATCAGGTGTGTAAATGATGAAGGTCATGATTTAGATTTTTCAATTCATAAATGTTGTGTGTAAAACATTGGATTTACGGTTTCAACAACAAAATGAATTGAATTTAATAAGGCTCTGCTGAAATATCTTTTTGGTGAAAGAAACACTTATGGCAATACTATTTGTATTAAATTATTATTTTCAAATTTCAGAAAAGGTTAAGAACCTTAACTTTGTTATACATCTGTCTCATACACTAGGTCTTTGTCAGTGATGCTACGTAATTGAAAACCTGCGATGAATCAAAAGTTACTGGATGTTCAATACTTTTTCTTATTTTCAATATTGTCACTGTAACACAATGTGTTTAATTTGTGCCCCAATGGACCATTACCAAACCTAACAGAGAATGTAGATATGATGATTCTTTCCATGCTTTATCCATGTAGAATTAAAAGTAACATGATATTTACAGTATACCAGCTTAATCATGAGCGAAACAGTAAAAGTAAGGTTTTCATTCTTCAGTCATTCATTTAATCTTAATGTGCAAACTGTAGGATGTTTTTTTGTCCATAATTGCATGTCATAAATAATAATATGTAATCATTGTGTAAATTGTTCTTCAAATGTACGAAATGTACCGTTAAAACAGATACGTGTTTACTTCAGACAGTGTTGAAGTCGGCTACACAAACATTTCCTTTTAACTTATCCATACGTTGAGAACATCGATCCTCAAGTGGAGATAACTGAGTAAAATCTTCATAGCAGTAAGAAAATCCATAATCCAAAAATATTTTGATGGTTCAATCCAACAAGAATAGGCCCGATGAATAGAAATGGCCCTGGATAACATCACCATAGAACCAGAATATATCTGCTGCTTCAATATCACGAAATAAAACACTAACACATCTTTTTAAAGAAAAATACCTTTTATTAATTGTAAAACATTTTTGGTAATAAATAAATGGCAATGGTAAATTCTGATTGACAGGATGAATCTGCAAAAGAAGAGAAATATCATTAGACAATAGACAAGGTCAATACATTAATATCATCGTAACGGAATTTGAGTAGGTTATTTCAGAACAAGTTTCCTTATACATAAACAGGTTGTGTTATATCTATGTGTATTAACGTACATACTGGTATTTCTAACGACTAACGTTTACGTCGGATCAGATCTATCATATTATAATTGTCGTTATGTTTGTATCCTTTACTGTAACACTTTCCACTATAACAACTGACATCAGACATTTACCAAAGAAAACAAGAAAACAGCCAATAATGAATATTACCTGCGACTTGCGACAATTGACTTAGTATCCACCAAATCTAGATCTCCGTCTCATCCACCTGTTTCCGTATCCACCTCCATAGCCTCCATATCCGTATTCTTCGAGTCCGTAGCCTCCATATCTATAGCCTTCGAGTCCGTAGTCTCCACGACCGAAGTTGTTTCCATATCCGGACCTCAGTCCACCATAACCAACAAGTCCAATGTCCGTATCCGTATCCGCCGTCTAATATTGATCCCAGACCATACACATAAGAATTTCCTGCAAAAATAATGTGGATATAAAACAATTTTGGTAAAACATGGAGAAAATTAAACTTACAGAAAGCATTGAACGTGTATCAATTTCATAAATCGTCTTGCTGATGTAGCCAAAAATGCAAATTTGGTGACAACAAAATTTTTGATGTTCGTCAATTTACTTGTGAAAATTCTGTACATCCAGTACTTACCATAATAATGACAGAGACAGCTAGCCACAAGGCAGGACAGGAGAAACATTACCTTCAGCATGATGTTGGTTAGGTTGATACTGAAATGGTCATGTTATGAAATATAATTTCATTTGCTGTTTCCTTTCTTTTACATTGGATGGGCATACTGGTCTGTAAAAAAATGTCTTTTTCCTGTATAGTAAACATATTAGCTTATTACAAAATACCCGACATGTAATGATACGCATGACTTCTTCAGTGTCAGATAACCTACCTCGGCTACATAGGGTTCTCGATTACCCCGTTTAATCTTGACACAAGGATATCTATTTGTATTTGTAGTTACATTGCATATTTTGTGATGACGTAATGTATTTAATATCACTTGGTATTTGATCATTAGCCGACCTCTATAACAAATGAAAAGTATGCAAAATTCACACAAAAGATTAGCGTCTGTCAGTACAATTTTAGAATTCGATACTTCAGAGTAAAGTAGTAAAGTAAACTGTATGATTAAGTTGTTCTTTTAATATTCAATAATTTTTTCTGTCATTTATAATAACTTTAGAACAATGTCAGTTACGTTGAATATTCTGAAAGATGTCATTATTGGAATGAAGATGGTTTTCTCAATTTATATCTTTTTCTCTAGTGTCGGTTTCGCGATGTTGACTGAATTCAAGTGGTTTCAGAGAGCTATTTGAAAGTAATTTATCTGAACAGCAAATCTATTACATGAATTCGTCAGATTTATCATTTTCCATGCTAACAAAACGGTCCTATTTCACGATCACAATAGCTAAGACCATGGATATATTTTTACCCATCAAAACAATTGAGATTCGAAGATTAAACAAACGATTGCAGTAGAAAGTTTATACGAGGTTCTAGTATAAAAAATTGCAAGTTCTCAGAATTGTGCCAAAATGTCATTTTCCCAAAAAAAACAATACTTAATAGTAAAAGAACCCTGACATGCCTTTCATTCATATTTACAGGTAGCTTTTACGCAGTTGTCCGTATGCCTAGGGCAGTTTTTATGACCTGTTCGTAGCAGTATGACTGGACACAGGTCACTATTGGTACTGATGCGTCACACTCTGGTCATTTGTCATCTTTGCCGTTTTAACGAATCGCATTTGAGATATATTTCCTTGTTTCCTTGATCAACTTGTATAAATATGTCTGAGAACCGACCAAAAGTCACTCGTAATCTTAACTCGGCATCGAATCGCACTGATTTCTAGGTAAGTGTCTGTCATTGCAATCATCTTAGAGCTGTATGTGATAAGATTACCTGATCATTCTAGCGTAAAGCTCCAATCTGTAAATCTTATATTAAATCTGCGTCTATTTGTAAAATTTATTGTAACTACGAGATTGTGATAAAAATTCCGTGGTTACCGTAAACGAAGTTACCTAATTATCGAA